GATGCTACCCAAAATCCTATTAGCCCTATTGCTAGCTACAATACACTGTTTAGAAGACTTAAATGAATTTTTGATCACAACAACAAGATCTTTTTCTTCAACCACAGTATTTAATGTATTCCCATATAAATTGTACCAATAATTTGAATTGTGAAAAACCTACATGTATCACCTTACATTTTGGATAGTTCAACATCATCTGCCATGTATTGGCCCAGTGCATCAGATGATCTAAATCTCTCTGTAAGTCTGCAGCATCTTTGATACAGTTAGCCACCCCAAAAATCTTATTGTCATTTGCAAACGTCAAAATTTTGTTAGTCATTCCAGGTTCAATATCATTAACATAAATCACAAACAGCAGAGGACCCAGCACAGAAAGTTAGAGGGTGCATTGACTGGGATAGGAAGTCTTTTTTTTTCAGCAGTGAAGAAAGGAGATAAGTTATTTATTTAATTAAAATGTAATAGGTATCATTCAAAAGTTGTGAGTGACATTGTTATAGAAAGTTCCATGTTTACTGATGCAGAGTAGTAATTTACCTAAATTATTAAATTACCTTGAAAATGTTGATGAAAGACTTTTGTTTTTTAAGTTTATCAATAGGAAGAATAGTGTAAAAGTTAGTGAAATCAAGTGCTTTTATTATTAAAGCTTTAAAACCTTTAATTTTCTCTTTACATTAAGTTGATTTACAGACGATAATGAATAGATTAATACAGTTATCTTTTTGATAATATTACAGTATTTTTTTAATGTTCTTTTATGTATTTCTGACTATAACCTATTAAAATTGACAAATCTTTAGTTATATCTTTATATCAATAAACCTGTATTTGTATGGTGTTTTATATAGTTTGGAAATCCAACATAATTTAAGCATCACTTTGTGATATTTAACTGAATGTACACCACAGTCTGTATTTACATATGGTATTTTCTATAACAGTTTTAAGGTATTGATAGACCTCATTCCCGGAAGGTTTTTTAATGTTGTTAAGTTAAATCCTAATTCTTTACATAAAGTTGTAATTCGTTTTACAAATGACAACAAAGATGTTAGCTGCTTTATTGGCAGGTATAATGACATATCTTTTATGTAATCTAAATAGTCAGTAAGTTTTTTCTTACTTATAAAATTTTTGTTGTTGTTAGTAGCAAATTTCTTTAAGTGCATTATGCATTTATTGATTAACTCTTTAATGTTTTTTTTATCCAGTTCCTAAACCAAATTATTTTTAAATAGTAGGTATACACATGGAACAAGTACTTAGTACATCGCTCAGTAAAATTTTACATAAATATTGTAAAAAGGAGAACTTATGATAGTATCTAATAGCTGGTGGAGATATATAAATATTTTTGTATTAGTGTCTTCTAGGTGGTGGATATATATATATATAGGAATGAGTACCTTATATTAAAACAACCAGGTGGTGGATATATATAGGAATGAGTACCTTATATTAAAATAACTAGGTGGTGGATATATATAGGAATGAATACCTTATATTAAAACAACCAGGTGGTGGATATATATAGGAATGAGTACCTTATATTAAAATAACTAGGTGGTGGATATATATAGGAATGAGTACCTTATATTAAAACAACCAGGTGGTGGATATATATAGGAATGAATACCTTATATTAAAACAACCAGGTGGTGGATATATATAGGAATGAATACCTTATATTAAAACAACCAGGTGGTGGATATATATAGGAATGAGTACCTTATATTAAAACAACCAGGTGGTGGATATATATAGGAATGAGTACCTTATATTAAAATAACTAGGTGGTGGATATATATAGAAATGAGTACCTTATATTAAAACAACCAGGTGGTGGATATATATATAGGAATGAATACCTTATATTAGAACAACTTTTGAGCCTCACAACGTCACTGTATCTGGTCATGCTCTATCTGATGACCATGAATCTTGACAACATTCCTACATTGTAGTTGCTATTGCAAAAGGCTCTGTTATTTCCAAAGCACACCACTCCTTCCTGCATGCTTTCTATAATCCATCTAGTGTACAAGGATGGTGATTTTCAAGCACCTATTTCAACAATCCAGTTGCACAGAAATCCACAGGTAACTGATATGATCAGTATTTCTTCACATGTAATAGCATGACTGCTTGTTTCATTTTCTAGCTCCTTGACACCTGAATGGGTGGTACAATTGGATGATTTATCTTGGTAAACCCATACCCTGTTGGCTTCATTATCTAATATAGATCCATCTTGATTATGTTGTGTACTGTTGTGTGGGGCACAACAATAGCTTTTGCTACTCACCTTTGTGCTCATGGATTCTTACATGTTACAAGATGCTGCACTTTGCTTCCCAAGGAAGAAGTGCATATTGTTGCACTTTTGTGATTACAGTACAAAATCATATGTTGCATACTTATCTGATCGAAAATAAAAAATGACTGATTTTCATCTAATGTAATTGTATGTTATTATGTAGAACAAGAAAAAAGTATACTTTTTACTGATTCAAAGAAAGAAAATAGTATTCACATTTCGGTACAACATATTTTTCATTTATTTTACTTAAGGCATTTATTGTTGTTTCCCAGCAAACAAGGTTATGTTTTATTTTCCAGACAACTAAAACCAGATCCACTTCGCAGAAAGTACAAAACATCAACCAAAAAGAAAACATTGAATCCAGAATACAATGAAGTAAGTTTGCAAAGAATAAAACATACAGTGTATTATTATTTTAGGTTTTTTATAGTTTTGAATTATGTTTCATAAGTTTTAGAGGTTGATGATAATAACACCCTTTGCATTTAAAAATTCCAGATAGAAGAAAATGGTTTTAGTGTAAAAATGATCATCTTAGTAGTTATAACATTAAAAAAAGAAAGCCATAATAGAATCAATAACAACTTGAGTGAGAGGCAATGAATAGCTTTTATAATGGATTGAGACTTATGATGTAGACTGGTATTATTGTGCAGCATAACAACTTACATTTGTGTTTCATAATTTTCTGTTTTAAATGTACCAAAAAAAAGAAGAGATATAAGTATTTCTCATCATATTTTCATGACAGTGTCTGTTAACTGTTTTACAAAATAACTAAATTCTGTTAAGATCAGTAATTATTAATAGACTTTAGAAATTGTATTCACAATAAGAATTTTTTTTACCTTAGGAATTTATTTTTGATATTAAACCACAAGACCTTTGCAAGAAAACGCTGGAAGTAACGATATGGGACAAAGACTATGGGAAACCCGATGATTACATAGGTAAGAAACACTCACTTCCAGCTACATTTATGTAACTTGTGCCACCTAGTGAGATGAGAAGGTTCTTCTTCCTCTTTAATCGTGCAGAATGATTCCTGAATTTCTTATATAGTCTCGTTACATTTATGTAACTTGTGCCACCTAGTGAGATGAGAAGGTTCTTCTTCCTCTTTAATCGTGCAGAATGATTCCTGAATTTCTTATATAGTCTCGTTACATTTATGTAACTTGTGCCACCTAGTGAGATGAGAAGGTTCTTTTTCCTCTTTAATCGTGCAGAATGATTCCTGAATTTCTTATATAGTCTCGTTACATTTATGTAACTTGTGCCACCTAGTGAGATGAGAAGGTTCTTTTTCCTCTTTAATCTTGCAAAGTGATTCCTGAATTTCTAATATAGTGTCAAACTTAAGGACAAAATTAGACTTGAAATTCTCACACTGATTAATTGTTACAGATTTTACCGGTGTTTAAGTTAATTTAACAATTGCTTCAATATATTTATGTTCTAATGCTATTAACCTAGAATTGTTTTAATTCTAACACAAAATGATTATTTTTCATATAGAATTAGGTAAATTAGTTTTGGGATAACTTTCATTTCAAACTGAAATGGATATAGCACAATCGCTGAAAGCTTGTATTATGTAAATGTGTAAGCATAAACATAACAAAAAGTCATGAAAAACCTAATCATGTTCACTGTTCCTTATCTTCATTAATGCTTTTCTCATTTTAAGTGACATTCTTTTTGTTGGTTAATCATCAATATATATCTAAATGACTCTACAAGTATACCAAATACTGGCATAAAAGTTTTGAACTATTCACAGATGCTGCTAATTATCTAAATGTTTTACATCATAAGCCAAGATTTTATTATAGTCTACTTAATGTCACTGTCTTGCATGATGTGTACTGCTATTATTTAGATGTGGGAGACATGGCTATTTTATAATGTTGTGTGTGTGTGTGTGTGTGTGTATGCAGCTAACACACAAAGCTATGTTAAAAAGTGAATATGAAAGTAATGCTACTGATTATTTTATCATGGAGGCATAAAAGTTCAAGTTAGGAAGAGTATTATTATTTAAACATCTTGTTTTTAATGGTAAAATACAAGTTTGAAAAAGGAAACTGACCTGTTTCACCAAGTTAATTAAAGTGATTTTTAGCCTTGTGTTTTCTCATTTATTTTAATATATACAAACAACACTATAAGAAACCTAGCCTTATTCTTTTGATCTTCCTTGTCCAGAGTTACTGATTAGAGGTGAAATTCCCTGAAACTCATAGAAAAATGGTGAATGATAAATTGGGCTTAATTTTCAGTTTTTGTTTTAGAAAATATTTTCTGTCGTTAAATATTTCTGCTAAACAAAAATGTAAACTGAAGTTCACTTTTCAGTAATGAAAAAAAACTTCAAAGAAAAATATTTTATTTTGTGATTATCATGATTTTAGTTTACCTCTTTGGCTATTGTGTAGCCTGGAAACTAAGAAGTATGGTTTGCAGTTCATGTCTGATAATAGTCAGAGAAGATAACTGTTTCATTTTTCAGTCATGAGAATAATTTAAGATTTAAGAAAGCATCATGATTTAATTGTACTTGTTACAGTCATGAGAACAGTTTCAGGAAGTATCTTATTTAACTGTTTCATGTTTTAGTGATGAGAACAGTTTGAAGAAGAATCTTATTTAACTATTTCATGTTGCAGTAATGAGAACAGTTTGAAGAAGAATCTTATTTGACTATTTCATGTTGCAGTCATGAGAACAGTTTGAGGAAGTATCTTATTTAACTGTTTCATGCTTCAGTCATGAGAACAGTTTGAGGAAGTATCTTATTTAACTGTTTCATGCTTCAGTCATGAGAACAGTTTGAGAGAGAGTATCATGATTTAACTGTTTCATGTTTCAGTCATGAGAACAGTTTGAGGGAGTATCATGATTTAACTGTTTCATGCTTCAGTCATGAGAACAGTTTGAGGGAGTATCATGATTTAACTGTTTTGTGCTTCAGGCATGATAACAGTTTGAGGGAGTATCATGATTTAACTGTTTCATGCTTCAGTCATGAGAACAGTTTGAGGGATATCATGATTTAACTGTTTTGTGCTTCAGGCATGATAACAGTTTGAGGGAGTATCATAGTTTCTTTTACAATTCTTCTAATGAATGTGTAAATAAAGTAGCACAATGTTGATAAAAATCAAGTACCTGTGACTGATTGTGTAGATAGCAGTTCAACAAGTTCTTTGTCCATTGTTTTATTACAACAGATCTGGCCATGGTTAGTATGTTCAGACTCTAAGGGTCCTATTGGAGTGACAGTCAAATCCCACTATTCAGTCAGAAAAGAGTAGCCCAAGAGATAGTTGTACTTGCCCTCTAGTTTATCAGTTTATAACTATGAACGGAGAGCATGGATTCCTCTTGTATAGCTTTGTACAGAACTTCTGAAACAAACAAACAATCCTTCTCAATGATAAGAGTATACAATATATTTACTTTACAGGAGGGCTTCAACTAAGTATCCACTCTAAGGGTGATCGTCTACAGCATTGGGTGGAAACACTGAAAAATCCAGACAGACGAATTGAACAGTGGCACAAACTGAGTGGAGTACTTCTTTTGCACTGAACAAACCTGGATATATGTTAACTGATATGTACCAAATGAAATCTATTTAATGTACAAAGATTGTTCTGGTGAATAGTTTACTTCGGGTGTAAAACTGATCTAAGAAGTAATTACGATAAACAAAAATATAAATATATATATATGTATATTTCTGTGTGTGTGTGTATAAAACTAGTATAAAATATAATATAAATCCCCAACATTTAATTTAAAAATTAATTTCTTATTGCTTAATTTCTCAAAACTTTATCTACTTAATTACTGCATTACCAGTTGATAATAGTGCAAATTATAATTTTTCTGCATTTCAAAATACAGCTTTAGAACACTGTCTCAGTAACACGAAAACTATAATTCATCAGTTTCTTTCAGTCTAGAAAGCTGTCTTAATAACATGAAAACTATAATTCATCAGTTTCTTTCAGTCTAGAACACTGTCTCAATAACATGAAAACTATAATTTATCAGTTTTTTCAGTATCCTTGGAAATTTTATAGATATATATTTTATGTATGTGATTAAAAAGACCTATAACCTTAAAACAATTGTATAAATATTTAATTTTTATATGTTAACACCATAGTTGAAGAACAACTTAGACTCACTTCAACTAATGAAAACTACCATAACAGCTTTTAGCTATAGACACAATAAAAAGTACAATTAATCTGGATTGAATCTAACGTGATAAGAAATAACAAAAGAGAAAGCTAAGTTTGACAACATAAGATATAATTTTGCTGAGGGGTGTTCATTTGTTACCAGAAACATCAAGTTATTCTATCCCAGCTTAATGTCTTCTCCAGCTCTTAAATTCTGAAAGATTATAATTTTAATTTCGTCAGTGTCTTAAATGATTGAAAACAAATTAACGAATCAGCCAAAATTTGCCAATCTTTATTGTGTTGAAAAATACAAAAAACAAACTCATTAATTCAACATAACTTGTATTTCACTCATTGTATTCAAGAAATAAATTGTGTCTTTAAGAACTAATTGTGTAATTCTCTATAGAATACCTGTCATTTAACAGCTGTCTTTAAGAAATTGATAACTCTATGATTGTATGTGATATTCCTGTCATCTGATAATTGTGTCTTTAAGAAACTAACTCTATGCTTGTATGTGATCGTCCTGTAATCTAATAATTTGTTTTTAAGAAACAAATGACTCTGTGATTGTATGTGATCTTCCTGTAATCTAATAATTTGTTTTTAAGAAACAAATGACTTTGTGGTTGTATGTGATCTTCCTGTAATCTAATAATTTGTTTTTAAGAAACAAATGACTCTGTGATTGTATGTGATCTTCCTGTAATCTAATAATTTGTTTTTAAGAAACGAATGACTTGTGATTGTATGTGATCTTCCTGTAATCTAATAATTTGTTTTTAAGAAACAAATGACTTTGTGGTTGTATTTGATCTTCCTGTAATCTAATAATTTGTTTTTAAGAAACAAATGACTTTGTGATTACATGTGATCTTCTCCTTGTCTAATAATTGTGTCTTTGAGAAACCAATAACTGTGATTGTATATGATCTACTTTTTATCTCAGAATTACATGAAATTTAAGAAATGGATATTTGTATCATTAAAATGTGATGTGTTGTCCATTGTAATTTATCTAACACTTAAAATAAAAACATTACATCATTTCTATTTATAAGTGCAGAAAGACACTTATAAGGTGACTTGGGATAAAAAATATATCAAAAGCACCTGCTCATGTTTAAAAGAGGCCACAAACTTAAAAAGGCAATAGAATTAATTACCCATTCAGATAACAGAAACTAGAAAAATGCAAAAAACAACAAAAAGTGAGATGAACATTTTTAATGATCAATGCTGTACTAAGAATCTAACATATTTATAGCTAAGTAGTTTTATTGTTTTCAATTCTTACACTTAAAATATTTTCAGTTCCAGTGCTGACAGTCAATGTTATGAGCATGAGTCCAAAGTTTTAATAACTGCTTTCATCTTTGAACAAGAGCTTCAGCAAACAATACATTTGACAACGATTGTATAAGTGATTTTTTAAGGTTCCTGAATCATGAGAATTAACATTTTTGTAGTGCTTGTGAGTTTCAAATAGCTGTGTTTGGCTTTGATTATATGGAATGAGCCGATTATAGAGAATACAAGGTGTTACCTGTTGCCAAATAGAGCCTAAAATTGTAAAACTAACACCACCTGTAATGCAAGCTTGGTTTGTTATCCAGTTATGAGTATATTATAGTGCTTGTATCATAAACGTTCCAAAACATTATCATACAATGTGTTTGTGAAATTGTTATATTCCTGTCAAATAAAACAATTACCAATACAAAATTCCACCAGATTTTTTGTTGTTGAATTATAGGTCTTCAATATGAACACAACATAGAAATATCGTCAACAAACCACTTACAGTTCTACAGCCTGATAGTTATAACGTGGATCAATCAAATACTGACTTATCATATATGAACCACTTCCTGTTTTATAGTCTGATAGTTATAACCTGGATCAATCAAATACTGAAATATCATATACGAACCACTTCCTGTTTTACAGTCTGATAGATATAGCCTGGATCAATAAAGTAATAAAATATCGTATACAAATCACTACCTGTTTTACCGTCTGATAGATATAAACTGGATCAATAAAATACTAAAATATCATATACAAACCACTTCCTGTTTTACAGTCTATTAGATATAACCTGGATCAATAAAATAATGAAATATATGAACCACTTCCTGTTTTACAGTCTGATAGTCATAACCTGGATCAATCAAATACTGACTTATCATATATAAACCACTTCCTGTTTTACAGTCTATTAGATATAACCTGGATCAATAAAATAATGAAATATATGAACCACTTCCTGTTTTACAGTCTGATAGTCATAACCTGGATCAATCAAATACTGACTTATCATATATAAACCACTTCCTGTTTTACAGTCTATTAGATATAACCTGGATCAATAAAATAATGAAATATATGAACCACTTCCTGTTTTACAGTCTGATAGTTATAACCTGGATCAATCAAATACTGACTTATCATATATGAACCACTTCCTGTTTTACCGTCTTTTAGTTATAACCTGGATCAATCAAATAGTGTTACCTACTTCAGTTATAGTTCCAGTTATAGTACTTCATCTATCTTTGTCCACTACTGGCTATGTTTGAAAGAACAAAAAGTTGCTTAACTGTAAGAGGTTGGAATTTATGGTATTTACTTTATCAGCATAAACTGAACAATAAATACCATGTTAGGAAAACCACAGTTGTACAGAAACTGCAGTGTGTATTGTGTAATTAAATCACACTCATTTAAAAAGCTTATTTACTCATAATATCTTTATTCAATATATATATATACACAGCACTATATCATGTGTATGTTTGAATCCTTTTTACAGTTACCTAAATTAAATAAGCCTTATTTTTGCTTTAGTCAACACTTTAACCAACAGTTCAAACTTGATCATGTGACTTGTAGGTGTGCATGGTAAACATTTTTAGTAAGATTAGTTTATACTTAAGTAAAAAATTGTCTTTCTACTCATAAAATGTTTTACAAGAATAATTTTGATCTTGATCATTCTGATTACATTAAAAGTAAGTCAAGAAACATGCAGGTAGCTAATGTTAAGTTATTTTCTGGTGTCTTAACCCTTTGAGTGTGTAATTAAATTTGGGAAGGATCAAAATCAACTAATTGCACTTTTGCTTGATGATGTACATGCACACACAGTACTAAGGTGGGAATGTCTTTTCACAATAAGGAAAGGTTTTTGTGACGTGGTCGGGTAAATATACTTGTCACGCCAAACAGCTATAAATGTCAAGTCAGATACTTCTGATTATAGCATCCAAAGGGTTCTTCTTTATGTTATTAATAATTAAAAATGCACTAGATTTCATCAAGAATGTTTGATGAAAAGATGTACTTTAAACAGTCTCTCTCCTTCTGACACAATCTGGGATTCCACAGATCAACTAGTAACACTGCTCTGCTTGAAGAAACTGGGGCACCAGTATGCTGTACAGAATGAAGAAATGAGTCATCAAATACCAAACATTTTCCAAGTTCCCACTCTTTCCTTTTGTTTTCAACCATCAGAAAGCTGGTCCCCTTTTGAATTTGCAAAGCTGTCAAGAAATTACATTTACGATTCAATAAACTTGAGTGCATAGATTATTCTAATGACACAAATTACTAGACATATATTTTTTTCACTGAAAATATAAATAACAACATGAAACAAAAAACCTTACTACATAAATAAAACATATACACTACTTTAAAAGACCAAAGCCCAATGGAAATGATCATCTTTTCAATAAGTTGCTTCAAATGGAAATATCTGGAACTGGATGGCAAAGAGACTGGTTGCATTTATTTTTCAAACTGGATGTGGTGTTCCTATATGAAGCCTTTTGTAATCAATATATGTAAGAGAATTTTTCTGCCCAAATTTGCTGAAAAGAGACAGCCTGACTCATTGTTTCAGGAGGATCTATTATTAACTTAATGTATTTTAATTATTTTTTTATGTCTAAGGATGTGCACTTGGGTAGAAATATTTGTACATTAGCTTGGAGGAGTAATAAAATTATGATGAAAAAGAATAATTGTGTTACTAATTGTAAGGGGTTGTTTGAAGCCTGAATGGTGGAAAATAATGCTACAAGGTGATAGGGTCTGCTTACAAAAGTTTATACTGATTTGTCTCAAATGGTTCAAAGAAGGACTAGTGGAATTGACCATAGAAAGGACTACATGTAAGCAACTTGTCTGAAGTTCAAAAAAGAAATTATTAATATGCACATAACAAGGGATCATTAGGTCCTTCAAGTCTATTTTCACACCTACTCATGGAAAAAGTAAAAATTTAAACCCACCCTATACTTTTCAGCAAATCATTGATTCCCATCTTAATCTCCTGTAAAATGTTGGCCTCCACTACTGACAATAGCAGTTCATTTCATAAGCCAATAATCCTGTTTGAAAAATAAATTAGTGATCTAAATGTTAAAAATAATTTTGACTTAGCCACATGCAGGCTTTTGTTCAACCATAATTATTTCTGTCTGGTTGGTTCATCAGTAAAACTGTGCATTGGTATGTGATGTTTTAACTTGTATTTGTTCAAGTTGTGTCTGATGTGCTTATTAGTTAGAAAAGGTTGCATTAACTTGTCAAGTTGTATGGGAAGATGACTTTATTTTATAATACTATTTATGAACTTGTAACAGCTTACCATGATCATGCATTAAAGGAAGCACATATAATAACAGAAAATATTCATAGTATTATGATTTGTGTTTATATTTTAATACTACTTGCAGGATTAGAGGGTACTAGTTTCCCAAATATCTTTCATCTTACCTAAATGACACCGTACTCGGACATTACTACAACCCTTGTGTGGGGGGATGTAGGTTCCTGGGCAAATTTCAGAAAATGCAGCATATCCAAATACTGTTCCACCCATGAAATGTTTCAGTTTATTTAACACAGCTGTTGTTTTGGGGCAAAGTGACAAATTTGGATACACAGGTACTCCTTGATTATACAAATAAAATATTTTCCATTCTCCTTGAGGAACATTATTGAAATGCCATAGTGAAGAAAGTTCTTCTTTGCTCTTCTTAAATTCTGTCAAAATTTCTAAAAAACTTCCTTCTAACAGGCCAATATCATCAACATAAATATCTGTATCTTCAAACCATAACTGGTCAGAAAGACTTGGAATGACATAAAGTAATGTTACTTTATTAATATTACACTTTTCACCACTGTTTATTTCTGTATTTAAATATTCATGTTTAAAACCCAGTTCAACCCTTTTGAGACACTTTTCATTGAAGTTACAGGTCTCTACAAATTGATAATATCTTTCTTTTGATTTTTTACTTATTTGATCCGAAGTCCTGGCTAAACAACGTACACATTGTTTATTTTGACACTGAGTAAATAAATCACGGGATTTATCTTCAGTGTTACAATTTACGTGAACATAACCTTCGTGACACTGATTTTCAGCCTCGTGAGAATAACATTCATAAGCTAGACCAAGTCCAAGGCTCGAAATGCTTGGCACATTCTCCATGTACGCATTTGATTTTGACCAACATAAAAATATAATAACAAGAGACAATACAAATCCCGCAAACAAGCATATATACAATTCTGATGAACCGTTTGCTGTCACAGCTACAAAAAATTCACAACAAGCGTGTGAAAAATACTCCATTACTGAATTTTTGTGAGTATATCTTTGAATTATATTAACTTTAAGTTGTAACCTTATTTTTCGATTGTAATTAACT